CTCATGTTCAGCCGGCTGTCAACCAGCAATTAATATATATTCAAAATAAAATTTTAGAGTAGCTTTGTTACTTAAAAAAAAAATACATAATTTAACAATAAATGCAAAAGTGATCAGGAGCCAGACTTTGAAAAGTGAAAAACCCACATTGACTTCCCCTGAAGCAGTAAGAGGTCTAAAAGTTGGGTCCTGAATTTGCAATCTTTTTCACCAGACTCCTAAGTGACTTAAGCATTTGTTATCAAGCAGAATCTAATAGAGTGACTGTCATAGCCACCTTCCGGGGGAAAGAGATCACTTGAAATAATCGTCCTTTTGATTATTGTGGGTTACTGGAGAATCCAAGTTTATACTTTGAAGATCAAAGCCTTTGGGAGCTTCAGTCAGATGAGCCCTTTTGACTGTTTTACCCATTTTACAAATTTTACAAAAATATCCATTCACTGGCAAGCACAACCTGCTCTGTAGATTTGTGATCATTTTGCAAAAAAAGCCAAGGCAAGTAGAATAGAAACCAAACAGTAATTTGGTCTTCGTGCTACAGACTAGAGTTCTTTGTATAGGAGACTGAAACCCAGATCATGCTGGGCTTTTTCTCCGTAAGTGTTCCTTAGTAACTAGCAAAGTATATTAAATCCACTTCTGTGTGCATTTTTGTGGGATATAGCTGTGTTATATTGCTGTGACATCCGCAAATTCATAGAGAAGCAACATCTACAGTTGTTCACGTTTTCTTATTGTTTCCACATAATTTCACATGTCTAATGCTCTGTGCTTTTTGTGTGGTTAAGTTTAAACTCTCAGCCAACTCAAATTAGTTGCTAATCAACTGTGTATTAAACTGCAGAGCATTTAGCTGAGAAGTATGCACATTTGTGGACCCACACACTGTTTACTTTGTCTTCAGTCGTTATGATATAGGGCCCTGTCTCACCGAGTTCTAAAAAGTAATGCTGAGTGCTTTTATGAGGTGCAACCTGATTAAAAACTACACATTTATCTTCCTGCAGGTAAGCTTCTGAGAGGATTTGATCCCGTTTATCCCAAGAGCCTCTGGATTGACACAAAAACATTTTGCAATGGACTTCCTTTTCATATGGTTTTTGACAAAGAGGTAGGACAAGCGTGTGGTAGGGGCCTTTAGTTTGCGTAAACCATATAGTAATTTTCTTATGTTTTGACTGTCCTAGAGTTCACTGCTGTGTGTGCTGCGTATACAGTGCACACTCATTTGTAGGATTTGCAGAAGTGCTCTGTACAGAGACATGCAATAAAAGTCACTCATAATAACTGCATCTGGATTGTTTCAGAGAGGAATCTCCTTTGAATTTATGGCGATTACCATGTCTGAAGCAGGTGCAGATATGCCAACAAGGTTTATTGCAGCAGTCAATCCATTACCAAACACTGAACAGAATTTTCTGAGGTTTCTGGCTACCTTCCTGTCCCTGGATGTGCCAGAGACATGACCCATCCTTTAAACAGGCTTTGTACTTATAACTAGTCACCCTCTCCTCCTAGTTACTAATCTATCCAAAGGCTTTTGTAAGGCTTTGCTGGCAACTGAGGTTCTACATGCTTCCTGAGTCTACACCTACATGCTTCTGGTGGGAAAACCCAGCTTCCTACAAAATCGGGCAGCATGCAACCCCATCTAGTAAGAACTGGACCCAAAAATCTCTTTATCTTCCAGAGGAGGATTGAGTCTCCTCTCCTGGGGACACATACTCTGCAGCAATGGAATTGTCCTTCCCTTGGCAGGGACTGCCCCGTGGCTGGTTTCCAACTAGCCTGGGTTCCCACCAAGCTACAGTTCCTCTTGCTCCCAATTCTGTGCAGACAGTATTGGCTTAAGACAGGAGCAAAGAAGCTGAGAATAGGTCAGCAGAAGAAAGCTGAAAACGGCCACTGAGGGAACATGCTTTGGCATCATGCTGATAGAGATTCCAGAGCACATAGTCTGCTTCGTGCCACTGCCCACATTAGCCAAAGTTCAGAGTTTTAAACCTTTCAGGACATCCAGTCTGCATAATTTGATAAAATTACTAGTGTGGAAAAGGGGCACGTCCTGCACTCATTATTGGGAGCTAGGTCAGAGCTTCAACAACTCTGGTGACAAGCAGTGAAGGCAGGGTGCACATTTCTGCAGGAGTTAAGAGCTCATGTATAGTCAGCAGGCTAAAAGAGAATGACTAAACCTTTACACAGCAACGGTTAAGAGAAGGCAACCCATGGCATCCATTAGAAAATTAATATTTGCCGAGACATTTTATGCCACGGTTATTTTCTTTTCGGAATGCAGGACACGCTCTGGTATCTCTAATTTTCTCTTGCAGCTACCTGTAAGGCTATTTGTTAAGCATACACAAATGCAAGCAAGGATAATAGCAGATAGTTTTGTTTTGTTTTGCTTTTAACAATTGATAGGGAAGAGCATTTGGATAATAACTTTCTGTTCCGGGGGCTTTGTCTTGCTATGAAGGACACTTACTCAGAGCTCTGCAGTAATACACTGATAAGATAGAAACTTTGCTCAGAAATAAGCCATGTAGTATAGCAAGGCAAAGTGTGTGCACATGTACAGTGATCAGCTGTAGCTTGGCCCAAACCCAAACAGGATGTGAATTATAACACATTGTCCCTATTTTCTTTTTAAGCTCAGAGTGAAGCAAGCTGGGGTGAGCATTCAAAAGATTGTACCTGGCCTTCAGACCATGGGCATCTGCTTGGATCACTATTTCAGTATTGTTCACCCAGAAGTACCCTTCACCATCTCTAGCATTCAGAAATTCATCAACAGCCAATTTGTTTTCCAGACTAGAAGAGAGATGATGCCAGAGTCATGGAAACAACGGCCAATGCTAGAGCTGAGAGGTACTTCACTGTTTTCAATAGCATGTGTTCATATTAAATCACAAATTGTGCTGGAGTTGAGCTAATGCCTTTCTGTAGACTCCTGGCTTCACCTAAGTCCTGTAAATGGCCTTGCCTTTGTGCAGTGAGGAGAGAATTAGATGGTTCTGTTTAGAGAAATATTACTTTAAGATGCTTGTAGACAAATTCTGCTATTACCTCACCAGATTTCGAAGGCTTTCAGTCAGAAATAACAACTGCGCTGCCATTTGGAAGGCTTTGAAAGGCAGTGTTTTTCTAATGCTGCAAAACCCGCATCTTTGCAGGTTTCCTGAGTAACAGGGGCAAGGCCAAGGGAGGATGAGATTGTTTTCTGAACCACTTCTAGTCTCAGTTATTCACAGAGTCTCAGAATTGACTCAACTCCATTTGAGTTTGGAAGGGACCTCTGGAGATTGTCTCGTTCATCCCTGCACAAAGCAGCATCAACTAGAGCAGGTTACTCAGGACCATGTATAGTTGGGTTTTGAATATGTTCAAGGATGGAGACACCGCAACCTCACTGGGCAACCTATTCCAGTGTTTAATCACCCTGACACAAAATTTTTTTTTTTTTAATGTTTAAATGGAGTTCCTACATTTCAATTAGTGTCCATTGTTTCTTGTCCATTCATTGGATACCACTGAGAAAAGTATTTTTTACTCCCTCCTATAAGGTATTCATACATATCGATAAGCTCCCCCTGAGACTTGTCTTCTCTAGGCTGAACAATCCCAAGTCTCTTAACTTCTCCCTATATGACAGATGCTTCAAGTCTTTCCAGGTCCTCTATCCTTTACTTCTTGGAAATAAAAGCGACATTTACCTTCTTCCAGTCCTCAGGAACCTCCCCCAGTCACCATGACTTTCCAAACTAATTGAGGGTGGCCTCACAGCGACACTGGCCAGCTCCCTCAGCACTCCTGGATGCATCGCATCAGGTCTCATGGACTTCTGTATATCCAATTTGTTTAAATGTTTACTAACCTGAACCTCCTGTGCTGATGGTAGGTCTTCATCGCTCCAGATTTTCCCACTGGTCTCAGGGCCCCGAGATTCCTGAAGGGTGATTCTTATCAGCAAAGACTGAAGCAAAGAAGGCATTGAGTACCTTGGACTTTTCCATATCCTTTCTCAGCAGATCTCTAGCCCCATTCAGCAGCAGGCCCACATTTTCACTACTCTTCCTTTTGCTGCCCATATACCTGTAGAAGCTCTTCTTGTTCCTCAACAGATGCAACTCTGGGTGAGTTCTGGCTTTTTCAATCCTGTCTCTCCCTCTAGGGTGACCTGACCCAGCTTTCACTGCTTGTATACTTTTTTATGTTTGAGTTTAGTCAGGAGCTCCTTGATCATCCAAGCAGGTCCCTGCCATGTTTGCTTGAATTACTGCACATGGGGGTAGACCATTCCTGAACTTGGAAGAGGAGATACTTGGAAATCAAACAGCTCTTCTGGACCCTTCTTCTTTCCAAGACTGTATCCCATGGGATTCTTCCAAGCTGATCCCTGAATGGGACAAAGTCCAGTCTCGCTATCTTGCTTTTTTTGCTTGTTCATGCCTCTCAGGTTCCTGCACTCCACCGTTGCACAGTCATTGCAGCCAAGGCTGCGCCCAGCTTTCAGATCCATAGTTCTTCACTGTTTGTAAGTATTGGGTCTAGAAGGACACCTTCCCTCGTCGGTCACTTCTGTCAAGAAGCTCACCTGTGTCAGTGCCTCAATGCATTCCAGAAACCTCCTGAATTGCTTGTACTCTGCTGCATTATCTGTCTGGCAGATATTAAAGTAGCTGAAGTCCACCATGAGGCTTCTTCCACTTGTCTTAAGAAGGTCTCATCTCCTTTTTTCTTCCTGAGCAGGGCATCTCTAGCAGACACCTATCACAACGTCACCCACATTGGTCTGCCCTCTAATCTTTATCTAGAAGCTCTCAGCTGGCTCATCATCCAATCCCAGGCAGAGCTCCATGCATTTCCCTTGCTGTCTCATGTCAAAGGCAGCTCTCCTTCCTTGCCTGCCTGTCCATTCTACAGAGTCTGTGTGTGTGAACTACCCTCCCAAACCTCTATGAACGCAGTGAACATGGTAGCCCTGAAACTGCACACTGACCTCTAGTTTCTCCTGTTTTTTCTCAGAGAGGTGCCCAGTCATGCCCATTTCCCAGAAAAGGTACGAGAGTTCCCTCCATAATGCTGCCCTGTGTGCATTTCTTTGCAGAGGTTAGAGCCAAACATATAATGTAAGCCATCACTCTGGGGTGATCCCTGCAACATGGTTGTATTGTCACTCTTGGTTTTGGTTGGGACTCAATGCCAGTTGCCCTGTGAATCCCCCCAGCCCTCAGCTATGGCCTTCTGCTTCACTGGGGACCTGTGGAAGGGACACAATGCCAGCCCTCACAGCCAGCTGCTGCTCGTGGAGCCACAGGGCTCAGCACGGAGACGCACTCAGCTGTGTAAAAAGTAACGGCCCAGGTCTCACCTCCCCATAGCTCCACACATCAGCCTGTCCACCTGACACAGAGTCGCTTTGCACTGCTAACAATTTTCTTTGCCAAATAAATTACTACATTGTACGTGGAACAACGTTTTAAACCCAGCCACCCAGCAGAGGCAATGCCAGTTCACAGATCTTGGATTGCATCTTTGGCACATCCAGACAATAACGAAACACGGGGTGAGCGTTCCTGCAATAACATACTGCAAGCGTCGTTCCTGCCAGTGCCTGCTCCCTGTCTGCCGGGTGGGAAGGGGCAGGGGATGAGGGAAGTGCTTAGAGACAAAGTCCTGATAACATTGCTACAGCTGGAGGAAAGAAATGGCTTCCCTTGTGCCTCCGTGCATTTTGATTCCTAAAATGTGAATACATGATTCATTCTTAATTTATGCCTTCGAGGAGAGTTATTTGCTACTGGCTGGGTTTCAAATGTGGATAAAAATAGATTAGTTAGCTGTGCTTTTATTTTTTGTAGTTGCATTTTCAGATTCTGATTTCTGTATTCACCCCCTCCCACCCCCCGCAATGTTACATAAGAGTTTACCAGCTAAAATTATTTAAGCAAAATAGATATTTTATTTGCTTTATTTTTACTGAGAGGAATGAGTATGGAATGATTGTCTGCTTTGTGTAATTAACTATAATGACATTTGGTTTAAGTGTTCTGTGACCTCAGTTTTCCTTCTCTGAACTATATAATATGACCTCATTTTCCCTTCGCTCCTTTCACCTTCACATAATGAGTATTAAATCTGGTATTCCTGAGATTCAGAAAAATTTAAGATTTTAGGGAGACCTTGAGAAAAGCGATATGAAAACAGGGAACTTTAACTAGTCACAGGCACAATTTTACTTCCTCTTACGCTGTCTGGGTTAATTCACATAGCATCTCTGATGTTCCAGTCCTGTTAGTTTTCAAGCTGTTCATCCAGTTGCCCTGGGGATAGGGTGAGGGAGAAAGAAAGAAATAGGAATTCCTAGATTGCTATTCAGAAACCAAGGATGCTTAGGAAGCAAATAAAGAATAATAATAATAAAAAATATAAAAAAATAAACCCCATAACCAAATCTCAACAAAGAATACAAAAATTCAGTCCCCCACAAAAAAATCCCTTCTACCTGTCAGGCATTTTTGTACCTGTTATTTAGATGATCACAGTGACTGAAACCTCCAGCTTCCAGGAAGGAAGGCTCCATTGACTTTACTGGGGCCATGTATTAACCACTGTGAAATTAAACTTTAAGTTTCACTTAACCATGGTGATCTCAGTTCCCCTGTGCATGATGCCGACCGACTGGCTTCAGGAACAGCTGAAGAACTAGTAGCAGAGGAGAGGAGAGATGTTGTGAGCACTGGGGTTCCTCGTGAAGAGGAGTGACCTGAAGCATGGTTGGGCTCTGCCAAGCAGTTGCAATGAGTGAGTGACGGCTTTCTGGGTCCTGAAATTTTTGTATTCCTCTAGTGTACCTCCTCCAAACAAGTCCACCTCTAATTCCAGTAAACAGAGTAATTCCTGCGATGACCCAGACCTTACAAAAAGCCACTGTCCTTAGAACTCATCCCTTAAAATTAACATCAGTAATACTGAGCATCATGTGAAAGTCCAAGCTGCTGAAAACTCTTACCGACGCTTGTTTCAAACAGGCCAGATGATCTGGATGGAGTCCCTGCAGTGCATGCTCTATCTCTGCTCACCTTTGCTTCGCACTTTGCATGAACTGGAGGAGCGACAAATGCATATTGCAGACATTGCACCTCATGACGTGACCAGGGATTTGATTCTTCTCAATCAGCAGCGACTGGCAGAGATGGAGCTCTCTAACCAGCTGGAGAGGAAGAAGGAAGAACTGCGGATATTGTCAAAGCACCTGGAGGAAGAGAAGAAAAAGACTGAAGCTCTGCTCTATGCCATGCTTCCTCAGCATGTGGCCAACCAGCTGAAAGAGGGGAAGCAAGTTGAGGCAGGTGAATGAAAAGGGTGCATTTGTGATGCATGATTTGTGCACCAGGTGGTGGTGACAGAGAGGCTGGGGTGCTGGCACAGCCCCATTGCCACTATCATGGAGTACATTCTCTACTTGGTGGCATTCATGGGTAGGAGGAGGACCACAGACCCTTAATCTCACTGATAATAAAGATTAGACTATTCTTTCAAACAAAGCTTTGGAAGCTATTTGCCAACGTTGTGCCTTAGGAGGTGAAAGGTGGTAGCAGCTGCCCATTCAGGGAACACAAGTCAGTGTTTCAACAGTAAACTGAGATTTTGGGTTTAACATGGGTATGCAGGGACATGACGACTCAAAAGTGAAAGAAATAAAGAAATTGGTCTTTTGTTGAAAATTCTCTCGGTCTCTCTATGCTATCTATAAGCCTAGAATCATCATGATTCCCATTGTTATTAAGGATAACAAGTAAGAATATGCTTAAATTCCCTTTAGTAAGCACATATATGAATTTAGGGGTAAAGAGCTAAGTATATCCTGAATATGGGTAGACAAAGGGATGTATTCAGATATCTGGATTGTTTGAGATGTGTGATGATTCTTGTATTTGATATACTGTTATATAAACATCTCTCTTTTATATCAGCACCCGTTATATGAGTATTACGACTGATAGGTCATATGTCCTAAAAGAATGACAAGAAAGTAATCTTTGCAAATAGGTCTCAAACAGATGTCGTGATTGTCCAGCCATTACAAGTACTTACTGCTGGTCTTTCTGCTCACAGGAGAGTTCAAGGAGTGCACTATATTGTTCAGTGATGTTGTGACTTTTACCAACATTTGTGCCCAATGTGAACCTATTCAGATAGTTCTCATGTTAAATTCAATGTACCTGCGATTTGACAGACTGACCACGGTGCACGATGTGTACAAGGTATGTACTGATTGCTAAAAGCTGCAGAAACAGTCTGGAAAAAGATTCTGTTGCTGTTGTTGTTTTGTTTTTAAATGCACCTAAAATCCTCTTCCCACCAGCATGATTTTTGATAAACCATAAAATATTGCAATATTTGTAGTGGCCACACAGAGAAACTAAAAAACAGGCAGAGGTGTAATTAAATATGTTTAAAATTTTCAGACAGGAATGCAACATCTATCATGGGCTAGAGTCTCTTTCCACAATGCTAACACCAGAATGGCTGTTCTTTCATACATCTCTCTCTTCTCTCAAATGTCTACCCAACATGACAGGATATCCTAGTTTATGACCAATTTGAATAATTTTTCTAGTTCTTTTATTCCAACCTGTTGTAACTAGGTCAGTATGTCATTAAGTGTCTCCTTTGGTGGGAAGTAACATTATAAACAATACCCAGATAATACCTAGACTCTGTTGTGCTTCACGGAGATCTTCGGCAATGGTATAGATCTCCTGCTGACCCCAAAGAGCATTGATTAGATCTAGACTGTAATGTACGTGTTGTCTCCAAACTGTGCTGAAAGGATCAGAGGTCTGGTTGACATATAACAATAGCGTCATTAACATCTCCAGAGCTACCCAGATTTGACGAACTGAAGAGCAAGTCCTAAGTTTCTGTCTCTCCTCAGCACATTCAATATTTAGGAACGTAGAAACAGTAAAGGGTGAAATCCAAATCTCATTCATTCCTTGCTCAGGCAGGGCATGCAGTTCATCCCGCAATAAATTGTACTGGGAACTCAGAAGCATTTCTGCCTTGGCAAGGAAACTGTATTCAATAATTGAAGCATCCAGGATATGGCCCACAGATTTTTAGGATAAATTAGCATCATATGCTGTCTAAATCATCCATCATGAGTAAATTATCTGTCACTGTAATAATCTCCTTTTGATGCCTGTATATAACTCTCATTAATATTGAAGGAGGTTACTAGGGTACAGAGAAGGAAGATGAAATTACTATTTCAGGGAATTGAGAAAGAAATGAAATATTTAAATTGATCAAAGAAACTTGGGCCAAGCTTATAAACATCTGAAGTTATAAATAAATTTTGTTAAATTAAACCTCCTACCATGGCTGAAAAATAATCAGGGTATGTATTTGCATTAGTAGCTTTTTACAGTTGTTTTTAATTTGTTACAGAAAATCACTAGCATTACTATGGGGTTGGGGATCTGATAAAGGCATGTACTGGAACACATTTTTCAAGACTAATGTGGTGAACAGTTTCAAATCATGATGTTAATGAACAAACCCAAAGATGAAATTATGTTCCCACTCTCCTATTGGTGTTAATTTTTAAGAAATCCAATTGATCTGATTTAAACTGATCTCTTATTTGTTGATGGGAAATGTAACAATGAAGTCTCATAAGAGAAGTTTAGAAAATTTCCTTACCTTGTAACAGTCTTTCACAGCGAATTTTAAACATTTGAGAATTCTCTGGATAGAAAGGCCTATTCTATTCCATTCAAAATCTCTAGTACAAGGACAAACCTCAAAGTCTTCCTCAGGTGCCTTATTATGCACTTCAAGGAGACAGGATGCCTGATGGAGGACAAACCCTTCAGCATTTGTCTCACAGGCTGCAGCATGTTGTGGGAAAACAGCTGGTTGTAAGGGAGGATGCTCCTGAACTGCTTAGTTCACACTTTGCATTCTCTGACATCCTGGAGACTGGAGGTTTCTTAATTTCATGTGAACCCCTTAATAATAAACACCAGTGAATAGACTCCCTTGCTTTATTGTGACTTTTTAAAGAAGAAATTTCTTTTAAAAAAGAAATACCCTTTTAATACCAATTGTGAATTAGAGCTAATTAATAGCATTCAGCTATCAGATAAGCTCCTGTCTCAGGAGCCTGTGCCTGGCGATAGCTCTTTGCATATAGGTCTGCCCTGGGTAAGAGGAAGGCAAAAAGTCTGACAATTTCACAGCATCCCTCACTCCTTAGGGTCTCTCACGCTGATATCTAAAATGGGTCAAGTAAGCAGGGACAGAAAGCATTGAAATTTTTAGTGTGGAGTCAAGGGGAGGATCCCCATCTCAAGGAAACTCACACGTGCTAGAGCTTTTTAGTGATTGGAAATGTCTTTTAGAAGAAAGGAGGAGTTGATGCAGGTAAGAAGAACCCCGAACAGCAAAGCACAAACCTGAGCAAGATATATATGGCATGCTCATATGCTTGTCCCTCTCAATTAAAGGTGGAGACAATTGGAGATGCCTATATGGTAGTAGGTGGGGTCCCTGTGCCTGTACCCACTCATGCTGAGCGAGTTGCTAACTTTGCCTTGGGGATGATAATAGCAGCTAAAGGAGTACAGAACCCAGTTTCTGGAAATCCTATCCAAGTAAGTTGTTAACGTAAAGATGCATGTGTGTCTGTCTGCTTCTTGGCTTGGGCTTCTGGTTGCTGTATTGCAGTAGGACATCAAAGAGCTGCTCCTGACTCCTCCGTGACTTTGGGCAAGGCCCACACAGGTACATTTTTCACAAAGACCCTCTCACTGTGGATATTCGATATTTTACTGGTATCTGGCATTGTGTTAGGATGAACTTTTAGGTGGCTGGATAGCATTAAGAAAGATGTTAAATAACAAGTGACATTTTTGGGGGGTGTTTTATGTCTTTCTAAAGATTAGAGTTGGGATCCATACAGGTCCTGTCTTGGCTGGAGTTGTTGGAGAAAAGATGCCTCGTTATTGCTTGTTTGGAGACACAGTGAATATAGCTTCCCGGATGGAGAGTCATGGTGTCCCGAGTAAAATTCATCTAAGCTCCAGTGCCTATCAGTGAGTAACTATGAGGGAAACTGTTAAAAGCTGTGCTAAAAAACACTGCCTTGACAGCCACAGCTTTCAGTGTAGATAGTGCTGTCTTTAGTCACTGATTTATGCAGCTTGCTTATAAAAGAAAATCACTGCTTGCAAAGAGTTTTATTTGTTCTGATTACTTCAAATGCATGTGTACATGGAGACAGAGGTTTGAGAGTCTCGATCCTAGAGAGCAAAATATGGGAAAAAAATAATTGTGATAGTTTATTTGGAAGTACCGATAGAGTGATGTAGATGCTAGAAAGATGGTCAGAAACATTTAATTTGACATCCTGCATAAAGCTCTAAAATCTCTCTGATTGAGCACAACAATTTGTGCTTACTAAGTATTAACTGCATAAACCACTATCCTATTCACGCAGTGAGTAATTTACTTTCCTAAAACTCATGTCACTAAAAATTAAATACTACATATTCAAGAATTTTATGTATGGATAAAATATGTATGCAAGAGGTGGAAGTGAAGACAAGCTACAAAGGAGGAGTACAAAACCATTGTGTGGGCACATAGGAATGATATTAGGAAAGCCAGAGCTCAACTAGCATTGAAATATATTGAAAAATGGCAAAGAGGACAGGCTGGAGAACTATAGACTGGTCAGCCTCATGTCAGTCCCAGCGGAAGTCAAGCCTTCCTGGAAGCCACTTTTGGACATGCAAAGAAGACAATTGGGAATAGCCGGTCTGGATTTACCAGCAGTAAATCATGCCTGACGAACCTCATTGCCTTCTCTGATGAAATGACTGGAGATAGTTCTGTCTAACTGATACTGGCTGCCTCAGTTCTTAATTTCTATTTACTGGTCAATAAGAACCCTCCGCCATACTGAAGTATTTGACTATATGATCCATTGCTTTTTGATCAGGCTGTATGTGTAAAGCTATAAAAGCACAGCAGGCTTGAATAAACAGTCGAAACAAACCCTCAATTGTTCATGGATTAGTACTGCTCTTCCCAGACTGTTGTGATTTGATTACTTAGATTACAATAGTGCTTCTAAAACATCAGTGTCATTTTTGCTAATCTTGAATTTTCATGTGTCATTTTGCTTCTGATATTTTAGATGCCTAAAATACAAGAATTTTGAGATGACTGAAAGAGGAGAAATAGAAGTAAAAGGCAAAGGGAAAATGCACACATACTTCCTCATTAGAAATAAAACTGCAACTGAGAATGAGATTATGGGAAGGCCAATGAAAGACTTAGATTCTGGCCATGAATCTGTTCAGTCCTTTCAGGAAGGCAGGACTGAAACGATACCAAGTTGTCATCAGCCAGGTAGAGTCAACTCAACATATCTTTCCCTCCTTGAACAAATGAACGTTAATACAACTCAATTAAGTGTCCTTTTCTGTTCTTCTTTCAGTTTCTCAGACTCAGCCAGAGAAGGACCAGACCCCAGCCATCGCGATGAAGTATATTGATGGCCCCACAGATGCACAAAACAGCCTCAAAAGAAGAAATCAAGCAAAAATTGCAGATTTAACAGGTAGTTATTTAGTTACCATCTAGCAAAGACAACAAAAGTAGGAAGTAACTGAGGCTTAATCTTGCAGCTTTCATTATATTCCTCTTCTGAATAACCATTGTTTTACTCAAGCCAGAAATTCATGCCAACATATCCATGTTGGTGAAACGAACCATTCTGCACACTGTTTAGGGCCAAACAAATTCACCTTCAGAGCAATCTCTGGTGTTAATCGTGCACTAGGGAGAAAGAAGCTGACATAGCTGTCAAACCCCAGAGTCCTTCTGGCAATGCAAACAGAACAGGTAAATGCTAGACAGCTCTTCACATGGACAGACCCAATTGTTTATGTACACACCTTTTCCTAGAAAAGCTGTCATTATCTGTAGTTATGGGTAAGCCCTTATTGACTCAAGCCTCAGAAAGAGAGACCTCACTGGCTCTGCAGCCTGGCAGTCCTCAAGCCAGTCTCCTGCAAGAGTCAGAAGGATTTATTGCCCTGCCCATGTTCTGCCACCAAAGTTCATTCTCCTTTGAAGTGGCTGATACTGAAAGAGATATAACAGATTTGATGCCAGAACAGTCTAATCTAATGCAGCAAGTCTTGTAATTCTACTACATGTTTTGTGGATATTATACAGACTGAATATGTTGTCACTGATTACTAGAAAATATTTTACTCCCTTCCCTCCCACCTGCTTAGATGTGGTAGTTAATCTAGTATATGGTGTGCTGACAAACAGAAACCTCTACGGTCATTAAAAACTCACACTGAAGGAGTGTTTCCTTTCAGGCAAAACTTATGATTCCAAAAGCGATGGGAGTCTCCATGGCAACCAGCAGGCAGATGATGGTCCTTGTCCTCTAAACCGGGGAAGAGTCAAACCTGCTACTGAAGAGCCACAGATTAGAAACGTTCGCTCTAATTTTTGCACTTTACTCTAAGTTTCTTACCTTTTACATTAAACAGAGCAATTTTATTATGATTTTGTGCATTTTGCTGTTGTGGGACTGATTTTGTGTATCAGGTACCACATGATTTTGTAAAAAAAAGAAAATAGAAAAAAAAAGACATTTCATCACAGTATTAGTGAAAAGAAAACAATGGAGAATAGTGGTGGTTTTTTTTTTTTAATCAACCTATATAATACTCCCACTAGAGACGGAAACCACCACAAGATGCTTTGAAGACATATTTTTCAGCCTCTGCCATGTCTTTGAATATCCCTATGTGAAAAATCACTTTTTGGTATCTCATGCAGCAATTGAGAAAGAGGTGACTCATCCAGCTAGAAATATTCCTACCAAAACAAGCCCTTGCCATAAAAGAAACATTCCCTGAAGTGACCATCTGTCTTGACTTCAGCACAGCTACCAACTTCCCTGTGTAAGGTTAGCTGAGCTTGATCTACATTTTAACTACGATGACAGTTTAATCTTTTAACGCTTCTTTTGTTGGGTAAAGGCATTATACAGTGGAAGTGCAGAACAGATCTAATACAACCTGTATTTTTCCATCCTGAAGAGAAAATATTGTGTACTTTATAGCACTCAATGGTAAAAAACCCACCTGCAACCTTTGAACCAGCTGTCCATGCTGTGCTTAGATGATCGTAGAAGCACATGCACGTAGTGGAGTTACGTAGCATCGAATCCACCACAACACTGAAGGACTGTTCAAGGCCTATGAACTATTTATTTGAGACATTCAAACGAGTTGCAAGTTTATTTCTCATTTTCTCACCCCAGCTAAACAAAAATAAAGTTTCAGGACTACAGAGGGAGCCTGACAGTGCTGGAATTAATGTTGTTAATGTCACTGAAAATAACAGTGTTAAAGAACAGCATCACTTACCGTCATACTTACTAATCTGAATTACTTCCACGCTGATATAGTCTTACATTATGCCTGATTAGAAGTGGCAGAGAAAAATTGAAGTTCAGCTGTCAGGGATTTAAGATGTAGGAGAAAAATACAATGGATATAAAAGTCGTGGACAACTCAGTGCATCATAAATTGTGCTTTCACTCCTATAAATGGAGCTTGGAGTAGGTGGAATGTGCTCGTACTGGGTGACTATCAGGAGATGCGCCTCACACACCAATTTATTACCTTTGGGCATGGATTTGTTGTCTAAGGATGCAAGCATGAGACCCATTTGAACTTTGAGCAAGAAGACTGTAGAAGACGGTAATGTTACTCCTCAGTTACTGTCTGGAGCATCACATTTCCACCTCTGTGTCTATGTCAAGAGTGAGGCTCTTTAAACACCAGACAGAGAGGTAAGACCGATGAAAGGCATCTCCTCCTCTCTATAGTATAACAAGATGAAATTTCACCTGGTTAGAATTTCTTTTGAAATCTCTGAGACAGTAGCTCCCTTGCCTGGGTGCTCTACAGCTCTGTCTATGAGAGCAAGTAGTGCAGATCCGTAGAGAAGGATGCATAGAGCAAAACTGTCAGTGCTGTTGTCCACACTACAGATATTTCAGAGGGCTTGTTAGTGTGGTCCCACACACCGAATACCTGCTAGCTTTTGGAGCACCTTATTATAAGCACTAGAATCCTCTGACTTAGTTCCATCCAGAAGAGATCCGTTCGTGTGCTTTGAGACCACTCTACAATGTGAAGCAAAGTATGGTAAGTGGGTTTGACCAGGAAATTCACATAGGAGGGTACTCCTGACTCTGAAATGCTGATGTAGACTCACCCTTTAACCATGGTACATCTGAGCAGCACCATTCTGGGAGACTGCAGTTTTATGAATGACAGGATCTATTTATTTATTTATCTATCTATCTATCTATCTATCTATATTTAAAAGGATTTTGCTATCTAGGTACTGCTCATTATTTTGGCAAAGGCAAGATCTACTCGAGATACTGAAGATGCATCTAACGATTATTATTGTTAAGTTGGGTATCAAGATTTTAAACATTTGACTGTGCTCTACCCTCAGACACACAACGTCTACATTTCACCTTCATCCTTAGTAATTCCTTGCCACTGGTCCAGTGCTCATGGCTTTGCACTTCTGTATTACGACCATAGCTTTAAAAAGACTTTCCTAAAGAAAGATAATACCCAATTTCTCTCTCTTACACTGATGTAAATGTGAAGTAATAGTTAAACCAGCACTATCCCACTGATTTAAGTCAAGAATCAACTCTGACAAGACTTTTTTGTCTCCAACCTAGAGACACATTTCACTACTCTTGACTAGTCATGCTGATGAAACGGAGAACATGTTATTTAACAAATGGCAGTGGTGGACTCCGTCTTTATCAGCATTCACCGTGGAGATGTAAAGCGACTTAGCCCCACGCACAAGCGTGACACAGGAGTGTACCTCTGTCAGTGGGCAGCGCTAATGCCGGAGGCAACCTCCTGCTGTCTCAACTGCTCTTGCAGCCCCATACCTGCGTGGCTGAATACCACTGACCACCTCTCCGAAGGGAAGAATTTCCAGTTGGAAATTGTCCAGCAAGCCTGGCCATCAGTGAGTAGGGTTTAGTATATATGCCAAGGTTTAATACAGATATATTCCAGAGTGATTTTTAGGTAGAAGCCCAGAGCTCCTCTGAACTTGTATGGATCCTTTTGGAAAGAAAAATCAAAAGGACCATGGCTTAATTGCTGCCTGCATCACTCTGTCCAAATTTTAACACTCACTTTGCTTATACCTGCCCTTTTTGTACTGAACAATCTATGAATGTTTACTATTGGAATGTTTTCATTGCCAGTAAGTGCTCCATAGTAAGTTACTTCATACTGTACTGTGGTAAAACTGATGTGCTCAGTGGTTTCTCTGTGGCCTCTGCTACAATCTGGTTCTCCTGGCGATGCAGAGCTAGGTCATATCTGCACAACTGCTTTAAAAAATTAATGTGCCTGTGCATCATCATGTGTTCTTAAAATCTGTGGGCATGGCTAAAGACTGCAAAAATATCATTCCGAAATAAATCTTTCCATTAATGTACTGACTGCCATTTGTCAATGACTGCTTTGATTCCTTTCCCTCTTTTCTGTTCCACCTTTTCTATTCTTTTTCCCTGTAAGTATGCAAAAGTTTAAGACCATTATACCTCTAATAAATGTCCAGTGAATTTAATTTCTTCACCATACACAAAGTTACATGTGTTTGTGTGACATCAGAATCAGCAGCGCACTACAATTGACATTGTCATATGCTTACTAATACACGGTCTTCGTGTCAGTGACCTATCTACATTGAATTGACACAAAAAAGGTGCAAAAAGAGAATTCCCACTGCTGCTTCATGGAAGCCGAGGCTTGGAAAACTTAAAAGTTGAGACATTTGAAAACTCTCTAAAGCATATGGATTCCCAAATCCCATTAAATCTGGTGTTCAAACGTGAATTGTCAAAAGCTTGGGTACCTTAGAGGTCTAGGGGACAGATTTTCAAAGGTGTTTGCTGTTACTTTGCTAAGTGAAATCAACTGGATTTAGGTACTTAACTGAACACATATGCAGCGTCTCGTTTCTGACAATGAAGCTTTCTTTAAAACATTTAAAAAGCACTTCCCTGTAAATGCCTTCTAAAATGAGCTGTTCGGTAAACTTTCCAAACTGTAACCTCATTTGCTGGAAATCATCAGTTCATTACTTCTGACATTACAATGCAACTCTGTATGGACCTAAGCTGAACATAAAAATCCACAGATAAAATACCAGTGAAATTGGAATTATTACTTCATTGGTGAGAATATAATAAAAATGTACTTGAATATGCAAAACATGGTGAACTTCAAAATGAAAAAAGGAGCACAGATTTTTATACAAGTATACAACATCATGGAAAATCCAGACGGCTTTTTTTTCCACAAGGTCTCTGTTTTCACTTTTGAAAGCTCAAGGGTTTAGGAGTAGACAATGAGATTAAAATCTTCCTTAAAGATATTAGTATAAACATCTACTATTCATGCATTCTCTGTACAACATTCAATCATCAGTGTTGCCTGTACATAAAGAAATAGCAACGTGCAGTGTTTTGGTTCCATAAATACTTGTAATCAAAATAAACATGTGGGACGCTATTTTTACTCATACGACTAGAACTAACAAGCACTCCTCATTTTTCACAAGCTGTTTGTATTTCTCTCTCACACTTATTTTGTACCTGTTCGCTGAATTTCTGCTAACGTTTTTTGATCCGAGCTGTGCTGAGAAGCCATTCCTGAAAAATTCTGATATTCACAATTCTTCCTATTTGACTTGGTGTGCAGCCTGTGGCTGGATGAACACACCAAGTCAGAAACAGATTTGTAATCACATTTTCATACTGATTAGTACTTACTCTCCCCTGCACTCCCTTAGAGGTGAATCCTAAGTGGACATAAACAGTCATTGCCAGGCTTTGCAAAAATTCAGAGTAACATTAACTGACTCTGTAATGCCTTCTTAACTTTACTGTATTGTTTAAAACTGTGAAGTTTTAAATTTTTACTTATAGAGAAAATCTCACAGACTCTTTAATAGCTCTTATTTTGCCATTTGCATCAGATACCTTTCTGGCAAACACAAGCGGTGACATGGTTTCCACTTTTGTGTCAAACGCATCAAAACCAGCTTCAACACCCTGTTTACATCAGTCCTAAGGTAAGGGATCCTTGGGACATGCTGTGCGGAAGCTACTTTGTGGAGGTACCTTTGCTATCGAGTGGCTTCATCATGGTGTATGGGCTTCCAGCCGGCTCTGTTGTGGCTTCCATTTCCATGCTAAACATCAGGCCAGTGACCCGAAACACAGGCTGGGTGATTCTCTGCAGGCATTCTGCCAAAGCGTTTTGTAGGAAAGGAACCTGACACATAGCTATCATTTAAGGCCAATTTATCTCGAGAATCAATGGGCCTTTAAAAATTCAGCAGCTCACATATCCTTTTCAGCGATGGTGGTTAACTGTTTTGTGTGCTGATTTTGTG